GGCATTGCTGATCGATACTGCCACCGGTCACACCAAGAGAGAAACACCCGCCGTCTTGCTCTTTCTGAGGTAACCCCCATTCAAGCCCATGTTCCCCCAGACCCCCGACACTGCCACCCCCTGTTCCTACTTCCCCGCCACCTTCAACCACAAGGGCCAAGCCCTATCCCATTGTTGAGACAGCTAGATGCCACGGACGTTATTCGGCGCGAAAACAACACCACAACAACAAAGTTCTGCGTTGTTTTTTACTATATATTTCTTGATGGCGTTCAAGAGAAACACATTCGCTGGCTCGTTTCATGTGAGCCACCGTGCTTCCGATTACCTTCCTCCGCATGTCATCCTAAAATAAGTACTTTTTGACGCGCATAGTAAGGCATGCAAACATTTATGAGAGTTGTCATAAATGGTACTTGGCCACACAGAGAAACGATAACTTGTCTTCTCCTTGCCCAAGAACCCGCTTCCGACAGTTCTGCAACAGCATCCTCTACAGATTGTCCTTCACTATCTCCATTACGTATGGACAATGCCGATTGAGTTTTGCGCAATTGCGTTTTTCCGTCGTCGTCACTTGTCCGCGATGGTTTCCCAATTTTCCACTCGAACGTCGAGGCATGTATTCGATAAAGTTACACCATTAGACTAGTCAGCGCTGACTAGTCTAATGGTGTAACTTTATCGAATAAAAGATATGCTCAGAGCTCATTTGCACCCGGCTGGATCACTTGGGTCTGTATGGCTTGGATCTCCGGGGACGGACCCCTCGCCAGGCGCTGCAGGAAGAGAACTAAGGGTGCTTGTGAAAGTGGCCATCTGGGATTCGAACCCGTGCGCGTACCACTTGTTAATAAAGGCTTACCCCATTAGAGTACTAAGTCAGCGCTGACTCTTGACTCGCTGACTACTCTAATGGTGTAACATTATCGAATGAAGGATACCTGCACGAGTTCAAACACCGACTGGATCACTTTACTTTGGAATAAAAGTACACCTAGAACTATCAGCGATAGGCGAGGGGTCCGTCCCCAGAGATCCAAGCCATACAGACCCAAGTGATTCAGCCGGGTGCAAATGAGCTCTGGGCATATCTTTTATTCGATATCAATCTGGAGCTAGCACTCTGCCTTTTCGGTACTTCAGTAACACTGTTGAAGAACTGGCTGTGAAAGGACTGCGAACCCAACACGACAATCCAAGGCAAAATAGTGCCATGCCCGTGAAAAATTGGACTCCTTGGCAACGGGCCTGACAAATTTCACTCCTTGCGTCCATAAAATTCGCAGCAGATTCAGCGGTTGTCGGAGGAACACCTATACCCATTGCCGTGACAGGCAAGGAAAGGAACATCTATTAAGGTATGCACCGTCCGAAGCAGTTTCAATCCGCACGCTCTTGCTGACGTTTGCGCACGAAAGACGGGGTACCCTCCTCGCTTGCACCCCCCACTCCTTCTGCCACCGAGGTTTTAATCTTACGTCTTGTTACTCAGAGGCAGCGAGCTGGAGTGGATCGACTACAGTGATAGCCCTGCAACGCAGCAACACTTTCGTTGAAGTCCTGTGCTGACGGGAGTCTTGTAGAGCGAGGTACAGCTGGTGGGGGTGTTTTAGCCACCGGTGGGGCAGTATTGAAATTTCCCCACCGGTGGGGTGTTTCGCCGTGTGGTTTTTATTTTTTTCCCCGTGCCGCCGGATATTCGGGGTCCTAGAGGTTTCGGGGTCATGTGCAGCTTCTGGGACCCCGAACAACGGCGGCCATGGAAGGAAATTAGAAGGCCCCTCTGCACAACGTTTTTCACTAACCCAATGTCCAAACTTGCAAAGTTTCAAAGTCAAACTCCAGAAAACGGAGTGAAGTTTTCAGCTTTTGTGCCATGAAGTATTCCCTTTACTGATTTTGTTTACACAAGGCACAAAAAAAAACACGACGAAGCCTCCTCGAAGCTGACAGTGAAACATTTATGCGGGAATCACCCCCTGCTAAGTCATGCTTCGGATCCGATCATACCAGAGTGAACAAGTAAAGTTCTCACGTAAGGCTGTAAAGGCGAAACAGCACGTTTTGAAGGAGTTCGGTTCGGATTTCACACCGGGACTTGGGGATCCGAAAGCCCTGCCAATGAACGTGATAGGGAAGAATGAATGGATGAATGAATAATCATATGGATGAATGAATGAGCGAACTTCGTGAACACCGAATGTCCGTGGAGCTCAATTTCTTCGAAGACCCATACCTCTAGCCTTTGGGATGTCACAACATTTACGCACAACTTTCACCCCCAATTCGACGACCGTGTCGTGCTGCTCAACACGCAGAGTTGCGTTTCAGTACATGCCGGTTCCCTATACGAGTAACCTCCTCGCTTGCACCCCACTCTTTCTGCCACCGAGGTTTACGCTTACGTCTTGCTACTCGGAGCCGTTCCACAACGAATGTCCGTGGACCTCTGGGTGCTCCACGCTGGCCAACGCGCTGACGAACCTGCTTGCCAATCGTTTGTAGGCAGCGGCAGAGATAGTCTCGTCTGCGGAATGTAGTCAATCCACCCTGCGCGCTGGTTCGGTCTTCTTAAGAAATGCAACATGTTGGTCTACATGCATAGCGGAATCCTTATGTTGGTTTCGGCCGAATGACGGCTTGCGCGACAGCTGGGGGCCGTGGAAACACCGCAAATTTGATTCAAATTTGGTTTGTGCCCTCGGAGGTGTTTCGGAAAGAATCTCGCGGTGTTGAAAATATGGAGTACATACTTACGACGCCGCCGTGTTGGTGCTGCGGAGCCACATTCTTGGGCGTACCTGGAGCACCACATGTTGGTTTTGGCCAAATGGCGGCTAATGCAACACCCGGGGGCGGGGAACATCGCTCAATTGTTTGCGTGCGTATCGGGGGTGCTCTTGGAAAGGTATTCACTGTGTGTTGGGCGTGCATCAACTTTACACTTCTACTATGGTTCTTGTGTGGCCATCGGAGCCTTGTACAGAAGTACGAGGTCCATGGTGGGAGGAAAATACCGACACAATTCCCCCACCGGTGTGTAGCTTACGTCACCGGCCGTGGTAGCACCTGAACGGAACTCTTTGGGCTGAACGATGGGTCATACGATAGCCCTACAGCGCAGCAACACAATCGAGCATGTCCTGTGTCGACTGAAGTCTTGTATGACGACATGTAGCTGGTGGGGTAAGCAACGCTATGTACCCCACCAATGAGAAGGCAGTGTTTCGTTCCCACTGGGTTTGTGAAAAACTGTTTTGCGGGAATACTTGATGTGCTGTTCGCCGCCCCAGCCACGCTGTTGTGCGCTGTGCGTGCATCGACCACACACCCCTACAGGTTTGTGTGTCGATCGGAGCCTTGTAGAGGGAGATCCAGCTGGTGGGGTCCATAACGTTACCTACCCTACCAGTGGAGCAGCGGCCGTATGTTTCCCACCAACCGTGGCACCACCAAAACTGTGCCGTTTCGACCTCATGATGGGTCCAATGATAGCCCGGCAACGCAGCAACACATTCGTTGAGGTACTGTGCTGATAGGAGTCTTGCAGAGCGAGATCCAGCTGGTGGGGTGTTTGAGCGTTAACCACCCCACCGGTGGAAAAGCCCCCCCCCACACAGCGTTTTGTACTAGCCCAATGTGCATCTGTGCAAAGTTGCAAAGCCTCACGAGAACGGCGTGATGTTTCCATGTTGAATATTGCATCCATTTCCTTGAACCAGCTTGTACTGCAGGGCGACTAGGGCGTGGCACATACTGTAGGCATTTGAGTGCTGTGTCCCTATTCCCATTGGCGTCAAGTACGAAGAGCTTTAACTACAGCAGTACAGCGAAGTCCAACCGTCAAGTTTTCGCACCGCACACCCTGTCGTTTCCCGTCTCGTTGATCTCGGTGATGCACATGATACTTCCACCGTACAAACAGTCGATGCGTTCTTCCATCAACCCTGTTGGTTGGTAAGTCCTTTAGACAACGCCTACCCGCCTTTCTTTCGCCTTGATATTCTGGTTCTACCTGCGGCACACTGGGCCTCTTTTATTTTCAACTTCCTAGTACCGGAGGCCCAAATGGGGACACTTTCACCGCTCACATTTGCCCGTTCACCGCAGGGTGCTCGTCAATATGCTCTGCTCAGTGGAACGTGACTGGGAAACTTTGGTCTAGCACGCTCGTGTGAGGTGGTACGCAATGTGACATGCTGCTGTGTGATGCCTGTGTGCCTCCCCTGGGATTTTGACTCGCTGTACACAATTTCCCAAGCCGCGAGTCCTCTCGTTGATAAAACGGTACAAGCTAAGCACTGGATAAAAATGCTTTGGCTTCTGTGCAGAAAGTGTTCCCGTTGCATTTGGGTATATATTCTACACTGAAGCCAAGTCAGCCTTCGGCCCTTGGGACTGCACAGCCTCTCCCAATTAACGGACGCGATCTGGACCCACAACCTGAAAAAAAATGCTGCAGCTGGGGAAGTTTATGTAGCTACCGTAGGTTCGTTCTTTCGCAGCATTGCCATGGCGTTCATGCAGCGTTCATTCAGAATTCAAACTCTGCACACACACCGGGATGCGGAAGATACTCTAGACTATCCCGAATCGAAAGACCTCATTCGCAAATCCGCCTCGCCACAAATAATGGGGGGAACAGGTCTGGCAAACAGACAAACTTGCTTGTGGAGGTGGAGGTAAGCACAAAAAAAAATAGGCTGCTGCCTACGGGACACTGCTGCCCTGCAAAAGTTCCTCCGCGGCCTTGCTTCTTTCGGCGAACGAAAACAACAGCAGTGCCGTGCGACGAATGCCCAAGAGGGTAGATTAAGTGACCTCGGTTTCCCCCCATGCATCCGTTGTCCCTCGTGCATCTGTAGCCTACTGCGACGTGAATACATATAATGCCGGTAACACCTCAACCCTCCCGCTCACCTCGTTCGTCGGTTCGGCAGCAGGGGCAGTGCCTCCGGCTTCAACACCATCATTGGGCGCACCAGATGACGCAATACGGACGCTTCTTCCTCTCCGAATTCGATGAATCCCCTAACACCACCCTCCTCGATTACTAAAAGCGTGCTCCTGGTTCTCATTGTTGCACTGTACGATATGCCGTCTCTCTTCTGCTGTGGTACTGTGTGCTGTGTGCTGGTCCTTTGTGCGCTCCCCCCCCGCCCCGCCCCGCAGGCTGCGGTGTCATGGTGTGCATTCCCGCGAATCCGCTTATTTATTTTTTCTTTCATGTATGAAGTAGAGTAGCGGCGGGTATTTGGCCGACTCTTTATTAGTACCGAAAAGCTATAGTCTAACGCGAAATCCTGAAATCCTGGCATGGGTAAACGAGAGCCGCTGACTTTGTTGTTGTCTTCACATTATACCGTATGTCAGTTGCTAAATGCCAAAATCTAGCAAAGACTCTCAGCCCGTGGTCACGAAAGTGCTAGAGCCATCTGAGGATCTAAAGAACACGCACACATATAACGAGAAAAAGGTATCCAAGAGCCCGAAGGGGTACACCTAAAAATCCCTGCAGCGCCGTATGCATGCCCAAAAACTGAACTGCACGTCCGTCCCACCGTTCGACTACAGTAGCATCACCCCCTCCCTGTCCCACTCTATACCAAAACGGAAGATTGTCGACTACAGCATACTGCTGTCTGAAGTGCTGTCTGTACAAAAACACCATGATAGTAGGCACGGAACAAGCAGCTGGCGGGGCACAAAGCTGCAGTCTGAAGTGCTGTCAGAATGTGTCTGCGGCCGTACAGTGAAAAAGAACAACCAACCAAAGCCATCATAGCAGCAATTGACAATCACCCGAATCTCTCCCGATCGTCTGTGTTAGGCACTGCAGTGAAAAATATCGACACTAGCTAAGAATCGTTCCACATTGAAGGGGTCTTCCACGATCAGGCACAAAACCAAGGCACCCGGGTTAGCCACGCCATCTCTGACGGGTCTCTCTACAAAACCGGTGACGACGTCATCACTCAAAACCAACACGGAAAGTCAGAAAAAAAACGAAAAAAATTAACAACACAGTTAGGANTTCTCCCTCATTGCACTCAAGGTTCTTGGTCTGAAAAAAATAAAAATTCTCGCGCCGAATGGTGAACCAGCCCAGTTCAGCTCGTCGCCACCTGCTCCCTCCTCCTTTGATGGCGAAGCCAGGTTACTGAGGCAATACAGCTCCCTCTAGCAAACCTAGGGCCGTGTAGTGCCCGTCCACCTTTCTGATGGTATCTGCCTCCGCGCACAACAATGAGATGGGCATCACTGCCTACGCCGACGGCCAGAAAGGCCCGCGCATCTACATTTCCCGCCTGACCCCATCAGTTCCGACCCAACTCCACCACCACACGAACGCCTCGCGGCGGAGTCGCAGCAAGCAAGAAGNCCTTTCTGATGGTATCTGCCTCCGCGCACAACAATGAGATGGGCATCACTGCCTACGCCGACGGCCAGAAAGGCCCGCGCATCTACATTTCCCGCCTGACCCCATCAGTTCCGACCCAACTCCACCACCACACGAACGCCTCGCGGCGGAGTCGCAGCAACAAGAAGGTTTCGGTCATCCCTTAAGGGTGAGTCTAGCCCTGCTCGCCAGAAAGACCCCCCCCTTCACTACAACCCATGTCTAAGCAAAGCTTGTCGAGGAGCGAGGGGAAGAAGGGATGACTACATACCATCCAATAGGGCCGCCCCCTATTCTCAATCACACCGAATTATTTGGTATGAATGTTGGCATGCATGCACGGCAACATATATTTAGAGTAGACCTTTGGGAGTGTTCCAAATCTAGGACTTGAAGTACTAAGAATAATAATATGACATAAGAAGTTGGCATGGATCAGAGTAGTGGAGTTTCGGATGATGACTCGGACTGCGGAGTATGATACATTGGGAATAACGACTTCAGGTACCGAGTGTGGTCCCTGGGTACTGCCAATGTCGAAAGCAAAAAACGTGATGCTAAGTGGTGTGGTGGTGTGGTATTTGGTGGTTNATGGATCAGAGTAGTGGAGTTTCGGATGATGACTCGGACTGCGGAGTATGATACATTGGGAATAACGACTTCAGGTACCGAGTGTGGTCCCTGGGTACTGCCAATGTCGAAAGCAAAAAACGTGATGCTAAGTGGTGTGGTGGTGTGGTATTTGGTGGTTTCATCGTGCGTGAGCTCGAAAAATGGTCAGCGAGAAGGAGCTCCACCCATCATCGCTCCTAAGAGAGTGGCAGCATGCGGTGGCAGTGAGTTGGAGCTTCCTTTGATCGACGAGTTTTGTACACCTCATGCAGCCAAACAACGCCGATTTTCACCCGAGGAGAGACGCATGATAAGGGCTGAGATGCAACAGTTGCTGGATCGTGGTATCATTCGGCCTTCCATGTCACCCTGGGCAGCTCAATGCTTGTGTGTTAAGAAGAAAGACGGAACTATGCCACTGTGTATTGACTGGAGGGTGTTGAAAAAGCTTCTGGTATCCGACAGTGGCGGGCTAGGTGGTATGCAAACCATATTCGATGGACTGAAAGGCAAGCGGTACTTCACTCAGATCGATCTAGCGTCAGGCTTTCATCAATTTGAAATCGCCGAGAAGGATCGCTATCAAACAGCCTTCCGTGACGCAGATGGCATGTTGTACGAGTTTACACGTGCGGGTTTCGGGCTGACAGTTTTACCTTCCGCGTTCACGCTTCGAGTGAAGTCTGCTTTAGGAATGATCGATGGCGTGTTTAGCTGGTTGGACGACATACTCGTCGCAAACGAAACGTGGGAAGAACACCTTGAACAACATATTCGCCTGATTGAGAGCGTAGCATCTGATTGAGAGCGAGATTGCGCGATACGCTGTAGCCGGACTACCACTGAGAGGTGGAGCTTGCTGTGTAGCTTGAATTGAAGGGCTAGCCCGTAGCTTCAAGCCGCTACCCTGGTCATCCTGTGGGAGTCTCTCGTTGTGGAGCTACAGCGGGGAGCAGAAGCTACAGCAGAGCCCACCGCCCGACGCGATACCGCCCTGAAACAGTTTGAGCAGAAATATTATATCTGGGCAAATCTAGCAACTNGAGCAGAAATAGCCAATCTGGGCAAATCTAGCAACTTGTCTAGCTCCTCGCTGCAGCATCCGATGACGATGACACGCATATGCTCGCGAAGCTGCTGATGAGACCTTCAATTTGCACCGCTTCTTGGAATAGCCCGTCCCCTACTTGCCAAGAAATGGCAAGAGGCGTCTGGACCCAAAATTTCAATTTTTTTGGCTCTCGCTCTCAATCAGATGCTACGCTCTCAATCAGGCGAATATGTTGTTCTTGCTGCATTGGTGCTCGTTCTAACACGCCTTCGTGCTGCTGGACTGTCCGTTGACTTTTCGAAATGCATTTTCGGGGCTTCGTCCCAAGGGTTTCTCGGAATGATAATTGATGCTACCGGCATGCACCCAGCCCCGTCGAAACTCGAAGCGATTGCCAACATGCCCCGGCCACGAACGGTCGAAGACCTGCGCACGTTTCTAGGCTTGACGGGATATCCCCGACAATTTGTCCCTCAATACAGTTTAGTTTCGGCTCCCCTACAGACAGATGTCCTCCGCAATAAGGACTTTGCGTCTAAGCGCGCACGTAAGCTCCCAATTCAGTGGGGGGAAGCGGAGGAGCACGCCTTCCACCAACTAAGACAGTGCCTGGCTTCCCCTACCGTGTTAGCTTTCCTGATCCTAATGCATCTTTTGAGCTGCATTCAGATGCTCGCTCAGTGGGCGCAGGTGCTACCCTGCTGCAGACCATCGACGATACACCCAGGATCATCGCTTTCGCTAGCCACAAGTTCTCTCGCACCGACGCTCGACGAGGACCCACGGAACGGGAGTGCATGGGAGTATTGTGGGGCGTTGATCGTTTCAAGCCGTACCTAGCTGGTACTCAGTTCAAAGTCGTGACGGATTGCTCTGCGCTCACGTGGTTGTTTCGCAGTAGAGAACTTGTCCCAAGTTGCATAGGTGGGCACTTCGCCTCATGGAGTACGACATAGTATTAGAATGGAGGGCAGGAGTGCACACGTGTTGCCAGATGCTCTGTCCCGTCTCCCCGTGGCCAGTAGCCCCTCCGCAGATGTAGACGACTCTTTTCCTGACGATTTCACGTTCCCGAATTCCTCCACTTGTGTCGGCCCGCAAGGCCCTGTGCTTGATGGTGTGCGTCTCGCGGACCTCACGACCGACGACGAATCCGAGCCCGTAATTACCGATGGTGAGATTGATCCCGCGGTCATAGCACCACTATTGGCTGACTTCCCGTCGCTGCCTGTGCCTCGCTCGATGAACATGTGCCACCACGTCGCTCAGGCAGACCACGCACGCCGTCAGTACGCCTACAACCCGTCGACGACCCTCAGCTGCCTACAGTGGCAAAGGGTCTTATCAACTAGGCTACAACGCGCGTGCGCACCTGAGCCCATCGAGCTACCCCCGGCTCATCCACCGGAGCCGGTGCAGCCCGTGTGCACGAGGTCCGCCGACGTGGAGGAGGTGCTTTCAGCAGAAGGGGAGTCCCCCTTTCCGTCAGCGGTAGACACAGGGTCAACGGCGGTTCACAGGGCGCTACGAGTGGTGAAGCACCCGGACACGTTCATTCGACGCCAGCAAGACGATGCCCTGGGCCAGGTTTGGCGGGATCTAGGGGGGAGTGGTAATGCAGGATACAGTTTGAATGATAAGGGAGTACTACGGTTCGAGTTTGAGAAAGGAAAACTGGTAAGAGCGACCCCCAAAAGCATGGTGGCTAACATCCTAGCGTTGGTCCACACACTACATGGACACGCAGGAGTTGGAGCGACCTTGGCACTAATTTGGGATCACTTTCACTGGTCGAAACTCGCACGAGATGTCCATCAGTACGTTTTGTCGTGTAGCTGCAGACGCCGCAAAAGGCCCACTAGTAGACGCGTATCGATGCTGCCAGGGAGACCATTGGAACCTTGGGATGAACTTGAGATTGACCTACTGAAAATTGACACATCATTGTCTGGTAACAAGTACATCCTGCTTGTGGTAGACCGTGCATCCAAATTCCCTTTTGGTTTCCCTCGTGCGACCAAGGAAGCCACAGGAGTAGCTAGAGCGTTGTCGGAACTTTGATTAACTTTCGGCGTCCCCAAAACCATTCGTTGCGATGGCGGTAAAGAGTTTGGCGGAGAAGTAGTGACTCACCTGTGCCGGTGGTTACAGGCGGATATCACTTTGGAGTAGCAGATCATGCCCAACGGCAAGGCTCAGTAGAGAGGCTAGGAGGTTGGATGCAAGAGCTGTTGGCAGAGCTGTGCATATGCTGGAACGACCGTTGGGATGATTATGTATCGCCTGCCATCTGGATTAAACGCACGCTGATATACATTTCCATTCACCCGAACATGACCCCGTTTGAATTGTTGTTCGGTCGCAAACCCCGCACCTCGTTAGATTCGTTGGTGCCGCCTTCAGAGGAGGGAAACCAAGATCCTTCGGGAGGTTTGGACAACTTCGTTGAACGGCGCAAGCAAAACCTTCGGGAAGTTCGGTTGGTGCTCGAGAAGCGCCACGACCTGCGGGTAGCAGCAAGGGCCAAGTCGAGCGCCAATATTTCGAGGAGTGCGGTGTTGGTAACGGCAGAGAAAGGCAATTTGGTTATGGTGCGCGAGGCGGACAGCAGTCGTCACCAAGACAAGCGGGGCCGGAAGCTGCAGCACGACCTCTACATCGGCCCTTGGACAGTAGAAGAAGTTTTGCAGAGAGTCTTGAGTGTGCAAGTGAAGATGCAGGGGAGAAAGCTGCGTTCGCGGAGAGTTTGCACGGCCGAGTTGAAACTCTTTCATCTTCGCCCACCCCATTTGAGACATTCTATTGCCGAGGAATTCATGCAGTTTGCGTGGGGCCCTGGCTTTGCAGCACCTGTCGAGCAGCCTGACCAATAGGGACGTTCGTCTCCCTCTCTGACTGCGTCGTGTGCATTTACCTACCGGTGCGTTGGTCCAGTGTTCGCTACTAAGCAGATTGAGCCAAATTTTGTGCTGAATGATGCATTTCGGTACTTGGTACAGTATAATAGTCTATTTCAAGTAAACGGGGACGACGTGTCTCTTGAGTACATCATGTAGAAGAGTGCATACCATGTAATTCATTTCAAAGGTTTCCGCTTCAAATGGTCTAGGCGGCAGTATGTCTTCGGATGTGAAGTATACATTTTAGGATAGTATCACGAAGCTTCCATTGAGGGGGAGTGTTATGGATTTTGCAAGGCTTCATACGTCAATATTCGGTAGTGTCATAGCAGTGGAAATCTGACCGGTTACACCACGTTTTGAGGAACGTTCTCAAGAACAGTGGTTGGTTCAAGTACACCACGTAGGAACCCTTTCGTGCATGGAACAGTATTGCGGATCCAGGAACGTTTCCGGACCGGTCATTTGGTTTCCAGAACAGCATCTAGAACTACTAGTCTAGAACATGTGTGTGTTCTGCTATTCTAGAAAGAGAAGAGGTGCAGCCAAGCTCGACCCCCTTCTCTATCACTCTGCTTTCTTCTCTCCTGTCTTCTTCCCTAGACTGCCAAAGTCTATCGCTCTCTACAAGTCTTTGTTGGCCGCAAGCGCCAATTCAACATCAACAAGCCTACAGCAGTAGCATCACCTATAAGATACAGGCTGACCATTTGACTACATTCCGTGCACAGACATCGGATGACTGTGCAAATAGGCAAATGGTCAGCCTTTTTTCGAATAACAGATACACTCTCGGCTCGTAGCCAATCCCAGTGGATCTGATAGGGTGCAGTGTTCTCCGGGGACGGACCCCTCGCCACAAGATGCTGCTATTAGCCGATAATGGTGCCTCGAAAGTGATGGGATTCGAACCCGTGCGTGAATCCTTTATTCGATAGAGGCCGACCATTTGACTACATGCACAGTCATCGATGACTAATGGTTTAACATTTGGCGATAAAGGGTTCATGCACGGGATCGAATCCCAGTGAATCGCTTTCAAGGCACCATTATCGGCTAATAGTAGCATCATGTGGCGAGGGGTCCGTCCCCGTAGATCACTACACCCTATCAGATCCACTGGTATTGGCTACGAGCCGAGAGTGTATCTTTTATTAGATACAGGCTGACCATTTGACTACATGCACAGTCATCCGATGACTGTGCACGTAGGCAAATGGTCAGCCTTTATCGAATATCACCTGCTACCTGCGAGCTAGCCGCTACAGACTAACGTCTGTCGGTGTCAGCCTTTGCCACCACCTGCCGGGATCCACACGGAAATCCCACCATAGTTTACTTTGTCGACAGTGCACCTGCGATGTCAAGGATGACCACGTGAGATCGATGTTGCCACTGTCGATCTTGGTCATTGGGCGTATAACGAGAGCATGCCGTCGCGGCGGCATTCCACCGCGAACTAGGGGAGGGGACGCAAACTACAATATATTCATGACCTGCAACGTATTAAAACATTTCGTGTTCATATATATATGTCCTTTACTCGGAAGGGGAAGTCGTTTTATCTCTTGTATTAGACACGCAAGGGGAGTAGGGAGAAGTGAAGCCCTCTTTGGCGTTCGAGGGGTCCCCGCACATGCAACCATTTCAAGGTGTACATATTCCCCATCTGCGTGCCCTGTTATGTAACCAGTCCGTATCCAAACACACGAACACCCTCCCCGGTTTGCACGCGAATGGCAAACCTAACGTGGGGCATGGATACCCCTGATCTACCAGAGGGACTCAAAACGACAACAGGCTCGAGGGAAAACCCGGCCAACCGGATCAAAAACCCTCGTCTAACACCCTACATATAGAAAACCGTCGATATCTCGGAGGATTCCAACGGCGCACTTCCAAGACAAGACCAAGGCAGGACAGATTGAACCAGTCACGCTGATGATACACCCGAAGCAACGCTCTCGGCGTTTCTAGGCTCCAGCCGCGGGTGACGCGCCGGTAAAACGTTTCTTGCGTGACGTACCATGGTCATATATGCCAAGTGCTAAAACCACCACATAAACCAAACAGAACAAGAGAACACTGTATCGGTAGGTTCATCAGAGCCTTCCGGTGGTACTCTAACTTCTCGCTGCCAAGGACCTTGGTCAGCATGTCGGTGTGCTGCTCTCCAGTCGGAACATACTCTGCAGTGATCTTGCCCGACTTGAATAGCTCGCGAATGAAATGGAACCGCACGTCAATTGCTCCTCGCTGAGCTGAACGGGTTTTCGATTAAGGCGAGAGCCCCCTTGTTGTCCTCAAGGACCTTGATCTTCGCCCCACTCGTCTCGGGCGCTATGAACGACAGAACGCCACGCACAAACAACGCCTCCTTCACGCCCTCCCCGGCTGACATGTACTCTGCTTCCGGGTCGACTGAGCCGTCACTGGCTGCGTCTTGGTGGATGCACACACTGCGGCACCACCTACGGTCACAGCTAGCCCGGTCGCAGAACGCCTGCCTACTTCGTTGTCAGCGTAGCTGGCATCGACAAACACGCTTAGGTCCTGACCCCCGTACGAAGGTGATGCCGAAGTCCTTCGTGAAGTTCAGGTAGGACATGATCTGCACAAGCGCGTTCCATATCCTCCCGGTGGGTGAGTGGGCGATCTTCTGGAGCTTGTTCAGAGGCAGGGCGATGTCTGGCCTCGTCAGCTTCGTCCACATCAGGCATCCGATCGCCTCCCTCACAGGCTTATCCACCGCGGGCTTGTCATCTCTCTTCGGCCCCAGATCGGCATCGGTGGCAGCAGGGGTGAAAGCGGTCTTGGTCACATCAAACCGCTTCAGCATACTCTCAATGTATGCTGTCTGGGACAGCTTGGTGATGCCATTTGCTACATCCATGGCGATAGCACACCCGTCGCACCAGGTACACTCCCCCAAATATTTCACCGGAAACTTTTTGTTGAGGGAAGCGAACAACTCCTCTCGCTCTCCCTCGTCTGCCACCACTAAGATGTCATCAACGTAGATCACGATGAGACCTACGACCTCTCCATCCACCACCTTCCGGAAGACACACGGGTCAACCGTGCACTGCTCGTATCCATCCTCGATGAGGGCATAGNCTTTAAGCTTAGCGTGGATGTACGCTTGCTTCACATCCCAGTGAGCGAGATTCTTGCCCTTTGCAGTGGCTACGGCAATCACCGTCTTGATAGACGCTGCAGACGGGCACGCTGAGGATGAGTGGTGGAAGTCGATGCCGGGGATTTGAGAGAAACCCCGCGCAACCATACGGGCCTTGAAGTCGACTATCAGGCCCTTCTCATTAGTCTTCCAAGAGAACACCCACTTTGAACTTATGGCCTTCCGCCCCTCGGGCAGCTCCTTGACCTTGGTAAAGATTCCAGTCTTGTCGTGGCCATCTATCTCTTTCTTCATGACTGCCTCCCAGAAAACCTTGTACTTGGAACACATCACATCCTTGTACGTCATCGGTACTGCTTCCACATCACTCGGCTTCTGCCCGATTGGCGAGGTCATACTTTGCTGTGGGTCTGGGAGTGGTTGCGAAGACCCGCTGGCGTCGACCTCGGCCCCGAACGCCTGCTGTTCCGGGCCCAACACCTCCTGCATCTCGCGCCTGTACATCTCCTCCNTACTTAGCTGTGGGTCTGGGAGTGGTTGCGAAGACCCGCTGGCGTCGACCTCGGCCCCGAACGCCTGCTGTTCCAGGCCCAACACCTCCTGCATCTCGCGCCTGTACATCTCCTCCATACGGCATGTCTCCTCGTCCCACTGCTCCTTCACAAGCGAGTTGCAGATGTAGTTCTCAACAATCCCCGTCCCGCCAGTTTCCAGGATGGTCGCCAACAATTTCTCTTCCGGGTCCGATGTTTCTCCGGGCCCCGGCATCTCCCCGGCACCTTGCATCTCCCGGGTCTGCTTCCGCGTGCGGCCACTCTCAAGCCCATGGCGCAGCGGGCCAGCGTTCGAGGCGCCCCAGAGGAGTTTCTTCCCTTCTAGCCCGCGGGGGTAGCGGTCGTCGGCTGGATCATACTTCAACTCCTCGCGGTTCTCGGCGTCGCCGGGATCACCATCGCTACCGCCGTCCCCACCTGGGTCGCCGGACTCTTCGCCGCCCGGGCCGCCGGCACCGCCGGCCTCACTGCTGCCGCTGCTCGGGCTGCTGCTGCTGCTGC